AAAGTGGAGCAGACGGAAACTTAATGGATAGTAATTTGGTGAAATTGTTTCAAGTTTTTGGTACTTGAAGAGATTCTTTGCATTTTCAAGTCATTCCCATAAGTTCTTTATTATTTTTCCTAAAGCAAAGATTAGTGTATTTTTGAAGAACTTTTGCTTATCTGATTATCAGACCTGTAAAGAAGTCATCATAAATTTCGTGTGCCCTTGTTAGAAAGTCGTGCCGTTTTCCTGGTCGATTTCATTTTAGTTCTGCGCGTTGCTCAAGAGGTTTATTTCATGTATGATCTCACAACCTCCAATCGCAAACTCCTCTGACTAGGTAATCTTTTCCAGGCTCATAATAAATGGGCAACCAGTTTCATAGACCTGAACGTGTAGGCAACTATCCTTTCACGCTCACAGGTTTACCGCCACCACCGACGGTTAAGAAAGTAATTTTTTATCAGATACTGTGTTTAGTTTTCTTAGTTTTTCTTCTGATATTTCATATAAATGGATTCAGGCTGGTTCAGATGCTCCTGTTCATAGAATAAATGATGCTATGAGCTTAGAGTTGCATATGGGGGATGAAAGAGTACGAGCTGCAGGACTGACACCGGCAGAAAGAGAATGGCGAATGTAAGTTTTTAGATTTGCAGTTTTCTGGTGGCTTAGTCATTGCATTCTTATTTCTTCAATGGTTTTGCTTGTCACATTCAACTTTTTTTAAATTTATTTCTTTTCTAAGTTTTGATTAATACTTCTTTTTTTGTTTTGCCATATTTCGCATGACTCGCTAAGTTACAACCTTGTTCAGGAAATGGGTCAAAGACCAATATTTACATCCAGATGAACCTATCCATGTAGATGCTGTTTATCGACAGTTGAATCCGATTAGACGAATTTATCGGTGGCCGCTTGACAAACTTTATGTTCATTTCTTGCGCCCTACTTTTGTAGGCCTTAATCTTGTTGCCCTATTGTTACTGAAGTGGTTTTCATAATATTGTTTTATATTTCTTTGTTGATTTTGAAACGCTCAATGTTAAGGGACCATACACAGCAGCGGTGATTCGTGCCGGCGTTCCAAAAATAATAATGTTCGCATTCACCGTTGAACTTATATATTATATTTTGAAATATGAAGCTAGGGTACGTCTGAGTTCTCTCATTTTTCTCTCGTATGTTTCAGGTCGCAATGGATCATGGAGAGAAGTTTTTAAAAATCTTTCTATTTAGAGCAGCAAAACTTTAAAAGTTTTAAAATCTTAAGGGTCATAAGATTTTGCAACTGTTAAATAAATTTAAAGGTCAGGTACTTATGCTTTATAACTTCAAAACGTTTTAGGACTGGGAACATATTCGGGGTCTTGAATGGACGAATTTCAAACAAGTAGTTGATAGGAAAAAGGTAATTCTTCTGTGGTTTTGTCTTCAATAAATTGATGAACATTCTGGTTTTCTTTCTGCAGTTTATTTTACTGCTACTCGTATTTTCAAGCCCCAGTTGTCTAGTATTGTATACCGACAGGCAAAACTAGCTGCATTCGTTCAAAATTTTTTTAAACAGTAAAAGTATTGTTTTTAGGCTGTTATAAGCGAATTTTTCATAATTTTTGTTTTAGTGCGGCTTTTGCGTATTGGTTCTTCAACTTCTATAGTTTTCTTGTAGCTTACTTTTCTTTTTGGGTCTGAGCAGAAATGAATTTGCGAGTTTTAAATGCTTGTTTGCTTTCTATTTCGTTTTCAGGAGATCGAAGAGAAGTATCCAGGACTTTTAGAGCTTGGTATTGCTGATCCTGCTAAAGATAGGTATTTCTCACCCTCATGGGACAAGAGAACCTCGTATTTAGATGTCGGAGAAACTCAAAGACCGTGGTGATTGTTTAGGAGAAACATTTTTGACGCGTAATAGAATCTATTATTCAGTAATGGAAATAGTAATATAAAAAGGTTGTAAATGTGAAGATATTAGAATAAATTTTTTGACGTTTTTAGTTGTATCTTTTGATTCTTGTTAACTTTGCAATCGCTATTTTCTATTTTCTGTTTGTTTTTTTAAGGTATATTAAGGATATATTGTTCATCATTGCCCAGGGAAGTATTCTAACTTTTATCAAAATGTACGCAAAGCTTTTTCAGCTTTTTTGCGTTGCATTGTTAGGTAGCTTTTTATCACAACAGAAATTGACGTTTGTAGCTTGCTTGATAAATTTCTTCTGTGCAACAGGTGCTGACGTAATTAACTTGTAGGTTTTGTTTCGATGAGGATCCTTAAGTTATCTGTCGTTTTTGAAGTCAATTCCTGTTGTATTTGTCAGTAGATTTAGTGCGCAATAAGTATGGCGCTCGAGTCCATCCGTTTTTTGCTCGTTAACCATTTGTTTTCCACTTTATTTCTGTCGCAGGCAGGGCTGTAGACGCTTACAGTTATGCTTCGATTTGTTTGAAGAGGAGTAGCTTACAACTTATTCTCAAGTTTCAAGAGGGGTAGGACATGGGGGATTTTATTCGAGAAGCTTTTAGAACGGTAAGTTTTTGATGTACATTTCGGACTGTCGCTTGGTTCCCTTTGGCACTTCTAGTTACATTTTGGAGATCTTGCTCATTTATTTCCACAGTGAATTGTTTCTTTGTTTCTTGCATCTTGAACACTGTTTTTGCTTTATAGTCTGGAATTAATGAAAAGATGCAAGACGTTATTGCCGAAACTATCATGCAGAGATGGAATGACGAAGCTGGTCGTAGAAACCACCGTTCTGCTTCATCAGTAGCGCCACAAAATGTTGACTCGATCAAATATGTGGGGGATAAAACTTTAATCTTTGTTGGAATTTATCTGCTTTAAAGTGCTTGGTTTTTATAGTATTCTTGCTTTAAATTTGAAGTTACCTTTTTTTTCTGGTCGGGTAGGTAGTATTTACAAAACTTCTGTGAGTGCAATGGTATTTAGCAGTCTGACACCGGTAAAATGCAGCTCATAAGTGAACAGCTTTGGAGGCGTCTGGAGAGGAAGTATGAAGAGAGATTGCAGAAGTACAAAGATAAAGAAGAAAAGGTTATTGAAGAAAAGATAATTAGTTTAAAGGCAGAGTATAAACGTAACCTCGACTTTGCATATTCCCAGGTTAGTCATCGTTTTACTGATACATCTGTGTTTTTAACTCAAAGACTTTATTCAGTTTAATGAATAATTTTCTTTCAGTGTGAAGAGAAGTTGCGTAGAAAAGATGAAGAGCTCCGGCGAAAAGAAGAAATTTTGAAGGAAGAGAATCAGCTTGAGTCAGAAGTTGGTATCACTTTTAGCTGATAACTTTATAGTTTTATAAAGCATCTTTTGCTATTACTTTTTGTGGCACTCGCTTTATATCTTACGGTTGATTGTTCCTATCAAGGATCTTTACCTTTCCTTCCTGGTGGTGTTCAACAGCTACTACATTTCACCAGTTGTTATTGCTTGATCCTCATCATTTTTCAGAAGAGGTATCTTGAAATTCAACGGGCTTGGAGTGAAATTGAAGCGAGTAAAAAAGACCTTCGCATACAGAAAGAACATTTTGATGTTGCCAAGAGCAATTTTGCCTTGTAAGGTCTTTCAAAATATCGCAATGCTGTTTTCAGTAGTCTGGCTAAACCTGGTCTTAATTTGTTATTTCATACTGTAAATGTCTTGTCGTTACTTAGCGTTGCAACTATTAAGGAAAGCATTTACATACAATGACGTTAAAAATAGTGACGCAGAGTTTTAGGAAGATGAGCAATGATAACCTCGTTTTGCAACGTCAGAAAGACGAACTAGTTAAAAAGGAGAACCATTTGAAAGAAAGGGAAAGGGGCTTGAAGGAAGAAATTAAAACAGCAGTTACGGAAGCGAAGAAAAAAGAGAGAGATTGGATTGTTGAAAAAGTAGGTTGGATTTTCAATAGTTTTTTTAAAAGATTCAAGATAAAATATACTTTATTTTATTAAATAAATTTTATGCACATGTTTCGTTGTTAGCTTATGAACAGTAGTAGTTTAGTTGTCTTTTCAGTTGACTATAGTGTGTGATTGATTTCATCTAATCATTTTATGGTCATTTGTTGTAGGTGAAGGAGTGGAACATGAAAGAAGCTAAATTGATTGAGAAGTGCGAAAATCTGCAAGAAAAAATGAGACAGTTTTCGAAATTACAGAGCACGATTAGTGAGCAGTCCTCTCACATTCGTGTCTTACAGGTTAACGATTTCCTGTTCAGTTTACTTGTCTGTACATCTACCTTCATTTGATAGGTCTGTAAGTTTGATGGCATAGTTAAAATGCACCAAATTCTTTACAGTTACAACTGAGTGTTCAGGGTGATTTGATAACTCTTCGTGGAAGACTGAATGATTCAGAGGAAAAGCTGCGACAAGCAAACTCAAAATTACATGAATATAATGATTACGAGATTTTGAGGGAAGAGAATAAAAGGATGAAGGAGGAGGTTGTTTTTAAAACTTTTTTCAAGCGGTACTAATTAAGCAGCTTGCACGGGAGATATTTTCTCAGTTTTTCTGACTATGGTACTTAAATCCTCGTTTGGAGTCTCCTGAACAGTATTATCAAATGGCAGCTATTTCATCAAAAATAATTTTTTCTAAGTAAGAAGATCTTGCAGTTGCTAAGCAAGTCGAAAGATGACGTTTTAGCCATCAAAGAATCTGAGTTAAATAATCTGAGAAGGAGGCTGAAGCTTGTAGAGGAAACTGCCGATTTGCGAATTAAAGAACTCAAATTTCGCCTTAAGGTTTCTGTAAGTTGTTTACGTTTATACTGGGAATGAATGATATTGTTGTTTTACAATATGTGGACGCTAGTTCCTTGTCTTTGTTTGACACGAGAGGAACTAGTGGGACGAGGTTTTTACAGCTTTATCCATTATTTCGAAAGTTTCTTGATTACATTGTCAAAAAAGGCTTTTACAGACAGATCAGCTCCGTCAGACTTTAGGTGAGCGCCACCAGTGTCATATTGCTAGTACTTCAAAATGTCCCGAAAAAATGCTACCAGTGGTATCGGATTCAGTTAAAGCAAGGTTTGTTTTCACTTGGTTTGGTGAAAGTTTGAAATAATTTTACTTGATTGCAAACCACCTTTTAAATGTTTATCCAAATCTCTTTTTCTCAACACTATTACTAATCAAGTTCACTTACCCTCTTCCTGAGATTGTACTTTTAATTTTTCTAATAATGCATATATTTTTTATTTACTTAATTATTTATTTATTTAGTTGTTCATTTATTTATTTAAATGTTTATATATTTATATATACGGGTTGTTTTTTGTCAGTTGGTACGCCTTTTTCATCTAATGTCCCAAGTTTTTTAGAATTTAATTAGTTATTAGAGTGTGAACTTAGACTTGGAAAACTGAAGAAGCAATATGGAAGGGTGCTGCTAGTCAATTTATGCTCTTTCCCCACCCTTAAAATACACGGTTTGTTAAGTAGCTTCTTAACATTCTTATCTTCTTGCCCCTTTGATTCGTCTCAACTTATATGCACTTTGCAGGATTTAGCTTATTGGATTTTCCACCTCTTTTGACTTTGAGTACATATTTTAATAGCTTTTTAGGTACGTTATAAGCAGAAATTTAGGAGAATATAAAAAAACCTGTTTTTGGGTTTTTAAAAAAGTTCTGCATAGGATTTGTTTACTTTATAACATACTGCAATTTTATTATGCACCTTAGACTAAGACCAGAGTTGCGCGCTGTAAGGCACTGCGTGGATGGAATCAACATTTTTTTTCTGTAACTGAGCCCATTTTAAAGCGCAGAGGTGTCATCAGCTGGATCTGAAGACGGAAGAGAGCCGTTATTAGAAGCTAATATGTTTCAGTTGTTATAGATGTTTCACAAAAAGTTATTTTTGTTATAGGTCTTTTACAAAAAGTTATTTTTTGTGTGGTAACGTTTGCTATCATCATGCATATCTGCTGTTCCAGCGTCGTTTGTTTCCTACATGTTACATTCTACCGCAAGAGTTAGAGGAGTGTAATTAGCTTATAAAAACGGTAAGGCAACAGTGTTGCTAGCTGTTACACAGTGTTTACAGAACACTGGTTTTTGTGCAATGTGGAGCAAGGAACTTTCTCTTTCAAAACTTGAAAGATAAGTTGGGAAGAGTATTTTAAGCTAATAGAAGCATATTCGCAAGCCGTTGCGCTCGTGTTTTGATCGTACGAAGAAACATGAGTTTCATTAGCATACTCTCTTCCTTGAAGCGCGTCACCTGTTTCAACATCTTTAAGTCCAGTTTTTATAAATGAAATGCTATGCGAAGGAAAAATTTTGTTTTATTTGTCAAACTGTCTTGTTAGAAAGGCCTTCTGCTGTCTTATATTTGATGCGACTAGTTTCTTTTTTGCCGCATTGTGACGTTTTTTTACTGCTGCTTGTGAAAAGAGTTTGTGCGATGATATTGGAGGCAGTTTGGAAAGGATGTTCGGTAGAATCATTTTCCGCAATCTTCTTTTTAATTAGATTTTGAAGCGATCAAAATTTTAGCATTTGTACAGCGGACTTCAATAAATTTTCGTCATATGAGTGACTTTTTTGATAGGCTACGGGTAGTTGCGAAGACTTTTTTTGCTAGTGGAACTTAAAACATTTGCGCCATTGACAGCAGAAAATATCTTTATATGAAACAATATTCTTCCTTCGCACTAGTAGATGAACACAAAGTTTATGCGGCAGGGACGTTCTGGTACAGGCGTCTTGTTACATGTACGTGCAATAATAATTGTTAGAGGTTTTCGTGTAAAAGGTAAGATTCTGAAATAAGTTTTTAACAACTGGAACATATCAGGTTCTGCTAACGGCTTTCCTCAATTTTCAGAACAAGCAGATGGTCGTTCCGGTACTGTAAAGTGTTTGGAACTACCGTAACAACAGTAGACTTTTTCAGTCGTTCCTTTCTAGCACGTAACCGTCTAGCCCATTCGAATGACAAATTTTGATGTTTTTTAGAGCATAGAATCTTATCTTTTTTTTAAATTGTTTTCTTGAGTCCTCATTTTTTTGTATCTAGTTACCTATTCAACGGTATTAGAGTGTACTGTCTTTTTAAATGTAGAGGACGTTGGAGACTTAAGGAACCAAAATTTATGAACTTTATTAAGCTTGGATTGAATTGCAAATTTAAGAGGATAAACAAGCCGCATGGACTCGACGACTTTTGTAACTTTGAAAAGGCATAAGTCGGAAGGGGGGACCGCTCTTCGAAGTTTTCTCTTCAGCTTTTAAGCTGGATTAAAACTCTATTGGCCGTTGAAAATTAAAGAAACTCTTAAGCATCAATTGAAAGAAGCGTACGAACTGCCACAAGTTGGTGTATATATATATATGTATGGGCTATTCCACGCCACATCGCACAAATTTGCACTCTGACCTCAGGTTTTTTTCATTTTTTGCCAACTTGTAGGAGTTGGTACCGATTTTCAAATCGGAAGAGTGCACTTCAAAAAATGCGCTGGCGGCAAAGTTAGACGGTTCTAAAATGCGAAAAAAATGCAGTTTACTCATGACATGGTCAGGTTTAACAACTTATATTTTCCTCAGCTTGCAACGGATTTTGCTCATTTTTACTTAATTTAAAAGAGTGCCTCCTGCAGATTTAGAAAAATGGTGAACGCTTATATCAACAGATTTTATTTTAGATCAAAATAAAAACAAAAATTCAAAACGTTTTTTCTCAAAAAGCAACATTTTAAATTTTTAAAAAAAAACCGTGATTTTCAAAGAAATAATTCTAACACAACATTCAAAAATCACAAGGTGGTATCTTTATGTACTCAAGAGTAACGGTAAAATTAATGATAGTAGACTGGAAAAAACTCTTAATTGAAGCACCATTTTGGAGCTTTCGCAAATCTCAGAACCTTTGTTTCAACCAAAATTTTGTTTGTCTTTGTAGAATATATAATTCTTGCAGAACTTATCAACTTTATTGCTCCTGTAACAGGCATTTAGTTAAAATTTATTTATTTTCAAACAATTTTCAAAGTTTTTTATAAAAAAATTACTATTATGATTACTTTTTCTGCTTGTATGGCTTTTTTTGTTTATTGAACCTTTCTAACCCATACGTGTCGCACTCAGTGCTTTTTATGACTGCTAGTATTGTTCCACCAGTTTTCCTCTCAACGCTTGCTAGTATAATGCAATGAAATTTTTTGTGCATTTGACTGGCGAATACACGCGAAAAAGTAATGCTGAAAATGCTCCTTTCCTTTGATATTTTTGTGGAAGTAATGGGGTCAGTAGTATCTCTTCTCTTTGGTTCGCAGCCTATTTGTAAAGGTTATTTTGAGTTAGAATTTAGACTGAAAGTGTCTCTTTCATGCCGGCCCTTGTTGCTGATTTTCTCAATAGGTCTTCAAGTTTCAAATTAATGCACTGCTGCAACAACAGAAGAACAACAATACTCGCAGTGATTTCACTACTTTCACAAAAATATGAAGGGAGAGGAGTACATCCAGTACCGCACTTTCGAGTACGTAAATCAGTGAAAAATTTACTAAAATTTCATTGCATTATGCTAGAAAGCGTTGAGAGGAAAACTGGCGGAACAATACTGGCAGTCAAAAAAAAGTACTGAGTGTGATATATTTGGGTTAGAAGAGTTCAATAAGCAAGCAGAGCTATATAAGCCGGAAAAATAGTGATAACAGTAATTTCTTCTGAAAAAAATTTTGTGAAATTGTTTAAAAATAAATAAATTTCAACCAGTTGTCCTTTATTGGAGTAGTCAAGTTGAAAAGTTTTGCAAGAATTATATATTCTACAAAGACAAATAAAATTTTGGTTGAAACAGAAACTCTGAGATTTGCGAAAGCTCCAAAATGGTATTTCAGGTAAGGGTTTTTTCCAGTCTTTCATCACCAATCTTACCGTAACTCTTGATTTCATAAAGATACCATCTTGTAATTTTTATATTATACGTAAAAATTATTTCTTTAAAAAATGTCTTTTTTAGAAATTTTAAAATGTCGCCTTTTAAGAAAAAGTGTGTCAAATTTTCAATTTTATTTTATTCAAAACAAAATTTAAAGGGCACGTGCTTTCAAATTAAGTAAAAATGAGCAAAATCCGTTGCTAGCTGAGAAACATGTAAGTTGTTAAAGGTGACCATTTTGTGGGTGAAT